AGGGAAGTATTTGAAATTCAGAGTCCAGAGGTGCTTTATTCTTTGATGGAGCAACTGGAGAGGTCAGCGGAGTGCCCCAGTATGGACAGATGGCTAAGACACAACGGCTCCGGCTGAAAGCTAGCACGGAAACCTTCCCCCTGCCAGCTTGCAACTAGCACTTCAAACAATGAGTCACATTTAACACAGTTGTTAGTTAGGGAGATGGTAAAACTAAAGATGCTTTAATCTGGAAGAAACATTGGAGCGGAAGTCCGGATGGCTGGCATCTTATTGCGGTTCAGCTGGTGGCACATGTCCTCTACTGGTTCCAAACACCCCTGCCAGAAACGCGGACGTTCAGTGCAGTGTGCAAAGCTGGGTCCCCAAGTGCTTATTCAGATGCAGGGCTCACCCCTCTGTGGGGTCAGGAAATACAGGCTTTACAGTTCTGTTACTAGACATTTTGATGACAGCAGCTTAATAAAGGGATGGAGTTATCATTTACAAAACACACCTCCAAGATCCTGTACATCACTAGACCCCTTCCACTCTCCAGAGGTAACTCCAGTGTTGCACAGATCTGAGAACATGGGTAGGGAAGTGGTGGGTGGCCCGGTGGGTACAGGAAATCCCTTTGTAAGAGTCCCTGCAAAGTCCTCCTGGGCTGCCTGAGCTGTCATCGTTGCTTCAGCCAAGTCCAGGCAGGGCCAGAACTGTCTTTCTATTTTTGCCACATTCATGGTGGTTAAAGCCTGAAAATCCTGTCAGGTAGTTCTTGTTACAGAGCTGAGACCCTCAGCTGCGGTGGCTGTCATGCCTATCATGACAGTACAAGTGCCAATGGGCTGTGGTGATCAGAGAGAGCCCAATGCTTCACCCCAAGACCACACAAAGTGGCAACCTATCTGTTCTTCCAGTGCAGGCATTTCCGCTGAGCAGCAAGCAGCTGAGGCTGAAAGCCATCTTGTTAGCCCAAACCTGGGGTGCAGAGCTGGGGTGAGAGGCATAAACAGTGTGCTCAGGATTCCCAAAGACTCCCCTTAAGCAGTGCGGTGCCCTGGCTAATGGGACTTGCCTGGGACTTTAGCCTGCAGCTCCTGCCCTTCCCCACAGGAACGCAGCAGTGCATGGTCAGCTCCAGCTTTGGATATCACTTTTTACTTAGAATTCATTTGTTGATAGAAATCTGTGCTTATATCTATCTATCTATCTATCTATCTATCTATCTATCATTCTTTCTTTATTATTTTGGTACCAGGAGTCGAACTCAGGACTTTGCACTTGCCAGGCAGGCGCTTGTGCCTCTGAGCTATACCCCCAGCCCTGTGCTTGTACCTTTAATAGAGAAAAAGAAAAAAGACACAGGCGAAGGCACACATCGCTGTTAAGACAAAAACCACGCAAGGTAGCGATGTGGGAAACAAACTTTGGTGAATGTGCTGCTGCTGTCACCGTGGTGAGGTATGGCAGGTTATGTAACCCTTGAGAGGCTCTGGGGATCCTAACTTGCGGGATTTTGTGAAGAGCACAGCAGTGCCTCTGGGTTTCTAATGTGCCTAGAGATCATCCAGATGTCTGTTAGAATGCAGATTCAGATTCAGAAGGTCTAGGTCTGAGAGAATGCATTTCTAACACACCTCCGGGGAGCACTGACACGGCCAGTCTGCGAACCCCACTTTGAGAAGCAAGTTGCCAGAGTTCTGTCGTACACAGCATGTACACAAGTGTTGTTCCCTCCCACAGGAAGGAGTCCCACCTTCCGGCACAGAGTCGAAGTTTATTAAAATACTACCCAGCATATAGCACAGACTATGTAACGTAGTTATTGGAATGTTACAAGGGAGCTAGCTTTATTTTAGGAGGTTTGATCCCCAGGGTAAACCTGCGGCAGTGGGACAAATGTTAGTGACATGTGGTCCCTGTCCTCCTGAACCCTTTGACCAATGGCCCCTGGGTGACCTGGGTCAGAGGGAGTTTGGGTTTTATCCTTTCTGCCTTCAGGTTTGACCAGGGGCTCTTCATGCTACGTGGGTTATATGCAGAGGGCTCCGCCTGGCCTTCAGCAGTGATGAATCTTCCCTTTGCTCCTCTGCCTTTGACTCGTATTGGACTCCTACCTGGAAGCCAGGTGGAGCATTCTGCATGCAACTTCCCAGGCAGTTCGAAGAGCAGCTGTCTCCGGAGCCAAGAATCCTAGGGGAACAAAGGAGGCCAGGCCACTGGGCGGGGGCGGCTAGCATTTTGCGGTTGGTGAGTCCCTGCATTGAATTCACCTGTGCGCTTGTTCAAATGCAGACTCCTGGGGAGCAGATTGGGCTCTGTTTGCATGCTGAATTTTGAGCCTGACTTCTCAAGCCAAGGGAGGGCTCTGTGAGCACAAATAGCTAGGAGGTTTCCACCTTTGGCTCTGAAAGTGATGGGAAGAAGAAATCCTAAAGCACTTGTATTTTTTTCCCCAGGATCACAAACACTTGCACTCTAAGGACTCCATTGAATCCCAGCTGAAGAATTGGTTTCTCTGTGGTGGTGGGATGGAGCAGGTTTTCCTTGGAATGCCACAACATTTCATGCGCACCCCGTTTCCTAGCCCTGGAAGGTGAAGCAAGGGACATGGTCCCATCTTAAACACGCTGCGTGCCTTGGGAATACGGAGGAGGCTATACAAAGAGCAAACAACACTAATAAATAGCACTGCGGGAACATAGTGTGCAGGAGGCTGGAGCCGCAGCTCAGGCAAGGCCATCCAAGGTGGCCTCTTCCCAGAAGTGGTGACCAGCCAAGCAGTGCAGAGTGCCGAGTCAGGAAGGGCACATCCCAGCTGGCTAGGCAGCATCTGGGCTGTGTGAGAGATTGGAGTCTCTGACCAGCACCTAGATTTTTTTTTCCATACTCATGAAATCAGTGCTTTTTTCTCCCTCTGTTTCTGATGAATGAATTTGGGGATTGTGCCAGAATCTGAAAATTTTCTATGGATTTCTCCCAGAATTTCAAGGGTCTGTAAATCCTGTGGCTGGCTGGGAGCCTACTCTGAATATCTTCAATGCAAAAAAAAGGATGTATTTGAGCATCTGGCCCAGAAATTGACTAAATCCGTCTATAGCATAATTGGTGCAGAAAGAACCAGAAGACAAATTGAGAAGAGTGGGAGTAAACAGAAGACAAGGTGGCAGAAGGGGAGCCAGATGGATGAGCCCAGACGCAAAACACACACACACAAAGGCTGCCAGGAGGGCACATTTGCATCTCGTGTGCAGACCTGACCGGCACAAGAAACCTCCTTGCTTGCAGGAACCCGGACCTAGCACCTGCTCTCCGGACAGAGCCTGCACCCAAACGGCAATGACCAAAACCAGCTCGAATGTCGCTGCGGTGATCTCTGAGTACCCTGTGACAGGTGGTCCACGTTGGCCTTGTTAGCAAATTCAGAACATAAACAACTCTTCCACAAATGATCTAATTCCTTAAGGAATTTAGGCTCCAAGCTGATGCAGCAGTCCGATCAGAGCTGAAGGTTCGGGGAAGACTATTTCTCGGTTACTATCTGTAATTTTTCCTGTAATTAGTCATAGTCCAAGGCAGGTTTGCAGTTCCAAAAGAGTGTGGCCAGAGCATCCTCCACGTTGAGAGTGTGTTGCGTGTGGTGGACCCACAATGCTACGCTTGTTGATGGAGAGATTTTCTTATTGGATCAAGCCTCCTTGCAGCAAGGAAGGAATCCACAGTGGAAAGTATCAGGGGCTGAACTGCATCTTGTATTCATTTGCCAGCTGTAGAGGAACAGGGTGCTGCCCATCAGGCTTAACCTCTATCTCAACCTCTTAGATATTTATAATTTAAAAATGATAACTTTTGCATTTGCTTACAAACATGGCAACATTTTCCCCAAAAAGATCCTAAGAGAGACCATCACGGGGAGAGATGATGTGTGCTGTGTTTAGCAGCACAACAATAAATAATCACGTTGCCCTTTCCAGATCTGCAACGCACGGCCCTCCAAATTAAGCCTCTCCGACTCTCATTCTGATGGCTGTCATTCAAGACATCCCTTACATCAGAACAGCTTTGTTTTCCGCATCTGCTTTCCTCTGCAGCTAGCTCCCCGTATAGTCAAGTTTCATGCTTCTAAAATGAAAAATAAAACTGCCAGTTCTCATCTCTTCGGGGGAAATGAGTCTTATTTCTCCCATAAATCATAAGCAAGCTTCAGTGGTAAATAGAGCATTAGCAACTCTGGAAGTAAATTAACTTCAGTTCCCGGAGAGACCTGAGGTTACTAAGGATGATTCAGTGATTTGGGTTTAGGGAGAGGGGGTGGGCGGCTTGGGGGAGGATGAGAGGGGTGGAGTATTTAACCGTTCCAGTCGAAGGTGGTCTGTCCCCACCTTCTGGCTCAGCAAAGGTGGTCCCAGTTTTATACTGGTTGTCACAGTGTAATTATTAAGAGTATCCCCCTCTTTCTGACAGTGTCCCAGTTTGGGTGATAAATTACACAGTCACTCTAATTAAAGTGCAAGTAAGATAAGGAGCAAAAGCTTGTTTTGTGAAAGAAACCAGATCCAAAAACCACCTATTATGTGACTCCATGTTAAAGGTCCGGAAGGGACAAATCCAAGCAGACAGTAGCTTCATGGTTGCCAGGGGCTGGGGGAGCCTGGGGAAAGTGGGGAGTGACTGTTAGTGGTCATAGGATTTCTTTTGAGGGTGAAGAAAATGCTCTAAAATTGATTGTGGTGATGTGACTTTGCTAAAACCCATCGCATTGACCATTTTAAATGGGCAAATTGTATGGTATGTGAGTTACAGCTCAATAAAGCTGTTATATTAAAACAAAAGTTTAAAAATAGGTAAGCCACAGAAATAGCAGAAAGGGAAAGTGCAAAAAATGTGTTCTCTGTCTCTCTGCCAGCAAGCACTCTGCACAAGGATGGCTGGCTCCTCTGGAGGTGGGTGACTCGGCGGGAAGGTGCAGTGACACTTGCTGGCCTCTGGAGGGCCCCTTGCACACAGCTCTTGCGTTTCTAGAGCCATTACTGAAACGGGAGAAAGAGTGTGTTTCCGTGGGACCGTTGCTAGGAATCAAGGTGCGTAGGTTGACCTTGACATGGTGGGAGTGTGGGTGGGAGCCAGCCGCTACACAAGAGCCTAGGAATGGTGGTTTCACTGCGAAGAAGGCAGCAAAGGACTCTGGTAGGGGCTTGCTTTACCGATCTCACTCAGCGGGTTCCCCTTAGGGAGAGCAAGGGAATGTCACAGGGCAATAGGCGGAAGTAAGCTTGGGAAGGTGGAAGTTTCAGTCTCCCCTGGGGGAACGAAGCTCATCATTTCAGGGGCCAGAATGGGGCCAGATATGACCACGTAAGCCAGAAACACTAGAAAGCCAACAATGACCACAAAGGGACCATTTGACACTTTGAAACTCTAGCCATGGTCCTCTGAAAAGAATCATGGTACCGAGAATGAGCCCCCTTCCTGATCCATCTTCCAACATTGGAAGAAAGGAATGGAGTTGAACTGAAACCTGTAAGAAGACAAAAATATACCTTGTGCCCTTTTACATCCTCAACCCCCAGCGAGAGGACTTGGGTGGGTGGATGGATGCACAAACTATGCAAAGGGTTCGAATACCCTGGCCCAGTGGTTTCTGGCCCAAGCCCAGGTATTCACTCGAGGTCACCAACAGAGGGTGCTCTACACCTGAAAGAGCAAGGCCGGGTCCCCAGAGCCAGAGCTGTTTGAAAACAGGGTGAGGGAGCTCTCTGCTTACCGCAGACAAGAAACAGAGATGGGGCATTTAACTACAGGAATGAACAGAGACGGAGTAGGCATGGAGCCCAGTACCACATGTGTCAGGCAGGGAGGAAACAGTCCTGTGCCCTGCTTGGGCGTTTCCTTAGAATGAGAGAAAGAAAACCCGAGTCAGTTGAGAGAAAAATCCATGTCAGCTCTGCTCACTGGTCTATGCCCAAACTCCCGGCTCAGAGAAGGTGTGCAAGACAATGACGGAACCTAGGAAACTCCAACAGAGGCTGGAAACATGGTCCCTAGACTGTATCTCTGGTCTGTGGCTGGTGAATTTTGGAAAGCAGAGTTACACCTGAATTGCTGTGAATCTCTCAGTGTCTGTTCTGGGCTATTTTCCCTGGATAAAGGTTAGTACTGATGAAGCTCAGGTCGTGGGGCTAATCAGCCTTGTAGGGAGGGAGAGTTCCAGGAGAACATACCCCTTCCACTCTCCAAATCAAGTCCACATAGAGTAGACAAAGCAAAGAAGATACATTGCCGAAGTGAGATCAAAGCTCCCCTCTAGGTGGCTAGTACCTGAGGTCACAGCATCCACAGGTGCCGGCATCCATTTGATATTCTGAGAGCCTGAGATGGCGCTGTTGGGCTCAGAGGTTCACCAAGGAATGAACAATGCGGCGCTGGATGTATCTTCTCTACAGGTACTCGTCTTGCTATTTTCCGTTTTTTCAGATCCTGGTGTCTATTTCTTCCTTCGTTGTAGTCTTTGGTTTTATTATCTCCCTTTGTTGTGATCAAGGAAATCTGCTCCCTCAAAAAGACAGACAGGAATCAATGAGAATGTAGGAAGAGATAAGGAAAAGCTGCACTGAGAGAAGTCCTAGGAACTCTAGCCCTGGGTCCAGCGGAGAAGTGCAAACCCACAGGCATCCTTCCTTGAGCAGCAGTTTGGCCACCTGGAAAGCTGCTCAAGAACAAATGTTGTAAGAGCAAATCCAAAAAGCTTGTGATGTTTGTATTCCTCATAGCAGATAGTTCTGCAGAAAGGTTTGGGTGCAGGAGATGCTGAATCGATGAGGAAGAGGATAGGAAACTTTCTTTCCTGTGGTTTTGAAGTTCCCTTAGGAGTCTGAGCTGTTGAAACTGCTTGTGAACTCCTTATTTTGTGTTGCATTCTCCTGGATGCATTCCACAGCATGTTAGAATTTTAGAACTAAGAGCGTGCATGCAGAGGTGTCAGAACCTCAAAGTCTCTCTTATATTTTCAGTTGGAGAAAGCCAACAATTTAGGTGGCTAGTAATTGAGCTCAACACAAACACCACAACACACACATACAAACACAAACACAAAGAGAGGAGAGGTTGGGGGGGGGGAAATAAGAGGGAGAGAGAGACAGAGACAAAGAAATGAGAATAGTAAAGACAATTTGTCCGTGTTAAATGTCAACTGAAGAACCTTACTGTGTCAATTTGTCCATGGTTGTATAGCTCTTATCCAGCGGACCAACTCTCACACGGTGATAGACGCTACTTGGAGCCCTCTCAGCAACCTAACCATGAGTGTGGAGTCCCAGTCACAAGGTGCTTTCCTCCTTTCTTGAGAACTTGGAAATTCTTCCTAGGGTGGAACTAGAAAAATCCACCTATGGAAAATAGCAACTTGGGAAAGGAAAGGAGGGGGGAGGTGAATCTGTGGGACCCACGAAGTATCTGAAGGGAAAACTGGGGCCCACAGAGAAAGTGAAGAGACAGACCACAGTGCAGAAAAAGGTGAGGGCAAGCTGCACTTTCTCCCTAGCTCCCAGCTCGCAGTGGGAGAGGAGGATTGAATCTACAGAGGCCTCGTGAGGGTGGGTGACTCCAGGGGACTCCATGGAGAAACACAGTAGTGGAACTGAGCCATGGATGCAGTGTGCTATAACAGCTGGTGACTAACTTAAATCCAAATGACTGCTGTGTCCCCTGAATAAGGTACTTGGCTAAGCACCATTTTACAGAGGGACCATCTGAACCTGGGACTCACAGCACTCATGGGCTGACTTCATCTCAGGGTTCTCAGTGATGAAATCTCACAGTGACCGGGTGAGAGACAGCCACAGGAGACAGCCAGGGTCAGGGAGCTTTGGTCCAGCCAGCAAGAGACACCTAGAGTGCTGTAGGCCGAGTAGCTCATGCCCTGACCCCACAACCACAGGTCAGGATCAACCTGAACCCTTTTGTGGAGTTGAAAGCACCAGAATTGTCACCCCACCCTAACACTTCTACAGGCTTGTCGGGATAATCCAGCACCCTGTCCTAATCCTACTGCAGGCATGCTGGGATCATCCAGCGTGAACCCAGGTTCTGTCTGCCTGCTTTGTCTATCAGTGAACCCTGAATTGGACACTGGCACAAAAAGAGCCATGATCAGAAAAAAACTACATCAGAGCATACAATAGTCAAGATTCCAGAAATTCAACACAAGAATAAGATATTAAGAGCTGTTAGAGAAAAGAAACAAATCACCTATGGAGGAAAACCCATCAGAATCACAGAAGACTTCTCAACACAGATGCTTAAGTCAAAGACAGCTTGGAGTATTTCAAACCTAAAAGAAAACAATTTTAAACCCAGATTGATGTGTCCTGCAATATTGTCCTTCACAATTTATGGAAAAATAATATACTTCCCTGATAAAGAACACCTGAAGAAATTTATGACCACCAAAACCAATTTCAGAAAATTCTGAAGGACAATTCTAGAAAAAGACAGTGAAGAAAACAATTCCAAGAACCCCAACAGAATGAATCCACCAAGAGAAGCAAGCAATTAAACAGAGGGGGAAAAAAGGGAACCAACAACAGGAAAATAATATTATAAGGATAAGTCAATACATATCTGTTATAGCCCTCAATATGAATGATCTCAATTTACCAGTCAAAAGAAATAGATGGGTAGAATGGATCAAGAAGCAAGATCCAGCAATATGCTGCATCCAACAAACATATTTAACTAAAAAAGAAATTCATAGACTGAAAGTCAAAGGATAGAAAACAATACTCCATGTTACAGAAACTTGGAAAAAAAGCAAGGGTAGCCACTGTATTTGGAGACAAAGTGGATTTCAAGCCAAGACTTATCAGAAGAGACAAAGAAGAACCTTACATACATTTAAGGGATCAATCTGAGAGAGAGAGAGAGAGAGAGAGAGAGAGAGAGAGAGAGAGAGAAAACAATCATAAATATATATGAACCAAATATCAGTGCAGCCAACTATATAAAACAAACACTAATGGATATGAAAAATCAGATAAGTATTTGTAACTGTAATGGGGGACCTCAACACCCCACTGTCACAAGTAGACAGATCAACTAGAGAAAAACATGGACAAAGAAATATCAGAGCTGAACCAAACCTTTGAACAAATGGACTTAGCAGGTGTCTACAGAGTGTTCCATGCCACAACAACAGAGCATACATTTTTCTCAGCAGCACACGGGACTTGCTCCAAAATCAACCACGTAATAGCACATAGAATATGCTTAAGTAAATGCAAAGGAATTGAAATTATTCCATGTGTATTATCAGATCATAGGGCAATGACATTGGAAAGAGTAAAAACCACAAAAGTACATAAATTCATGGAAAGTAAATAGCAGCCTCCTGAACAACCAATGGGTCACAGATGAAATGAGAGAAGAAAATGGACAGTTTCTACAATGAAATGGTGATGCCAAGATGACATACTGAAACTTATGGGATGCAATGAAAGGAGTCTGATGAGGGAAATTTATAGTAGTGAATTCCCACATCAGAAAGACAGAGGAGCTCAAATAAATAACCTAATGTTGAACCCTAGGCTTCCAGAAAAAGAAGAACAAGTCAAGCCCAAAGCATATACAAGGGAAAAAAACTATAACGATCAGAGCAGAAATTAATGCAGTTGAGAATAAGAAAGCAACACAAAAAGCAAAGAATTGTAGAGTTGGTTCTTTGAAAGATTAGCTAGAACAGACAAACCCTTAGCCAGCCTTATCAAAAAAAGGAAAGGAAGAAAAGGAAGGGAAGAAAAGAAGGAAAGAAGAAAGAAAGAAAGAAAGAAAGAAAGAAAGAAAGAAAGAAAGAAAGAAAGAAAGAAAGAAAGAAAGAGAAAGAAAGAAAAAGAAAGAAAGAAAAAGAAAGAAAGAGGTTGAAATCCATACAGTTAGGAATGAAAAGAGCAATATCACAACAGAGTCTGCAGAAATCCAGATCTTCAGTAACTACTTTGAGAACCTGTGCTCTAATAAGATGAAAAACACAGAAGAAATGGACACCTTTCTGGGTATTTTCCCAGAAAAACTGAAAACATCATATCACAGTGATATATGTGCACCCATGTTTATAGCAGTGCAATTTGTAATAGCGAAATTGTGGAGGCAACCTAAATGCCCATCCACTGAGTAATTGATAAAGAAGTTGTGGTATTTTTACATAATGGAATATTACTCAGCTATAAAGAAAGATAATCTCGAGGCTTTTATAGGAAAATGGACACAATTAAAGACCATACTCATAAGTGAAATAAATCAGACCTGTCTGTGTAAACACCATATTATCTCACTAGTGTAAGAACCTGAAAGACTGAATAAAATCTAGGAGGTACAATAGACATTGTGAAAGGAAAGGAAAGTGCTCAAAAGGAAAGAACAACTGGGATGAGGGAGAAAAGAAGACAAAAAGGGGAAAATATGTATGTATGTATACACAGGAAAGCTAACATAGTTGTACTACTGACTTTTATTGCTCTATTTATTTTATTGCTCTGATTTATTTCACTTATGAGTAGAAAGGAACAGTTAATGTTTAGGTGTATGATCAATCTTACATGTCTCTATTTGTTTATCTGAGTATCCAAATTAAAGATATCAATATATAATACAGCAACCATTGTTAATTTCGTATCATCCTATCTGAGATTCTGTATTGCTTGCATTGTTTTTGTGTTATTTTCTAAATGTATATGTGTTTGTTAAGATGTTTTCATTCTTTTATCTTTAAAATAAAAAAGAAGAAATGGACAGATTCCTAGATACATATGAATTACCAAAGCTGAATTAAGAAGATATAAAAATTCTAAACAACCCAACATCAATCAGTGAAATTGAATAATTAATTTAAAAACCAACAACAAAGAAAAAAACCTCAGGTCCTGACAGATCTACTTCTGAATTCTATGAGAAATTTACAGATCTAATGCCACTAATCCTCAAACTCTTTAATGAAATGGAAAGGGAAGCAATACTCTCAAACATTCCAGGAAGTAAGGATTACCCTGACACTAAAACCAGAGAAGGGTACAATGAACCATCCAACCAACCAAATAAATAAACAAAAAACCCAGGCCAAACTCTTTAATGAATATAGATGCAAACATCCTCAATAAAACACTGGCAAACAGAATGCAGCAAATCATGGAGAAGATTATACACCATGACCAAGAAGGATTCATCTTAAGGATGCCGGGATACAGGGATAGTTCAACGTATGCAAATCAATAAATGTAATACATCACATTAACAGAATCAAGGATAAACACCACACAATCATCTCAATAGATGTAGAAAAAGCATTTGACAAAATCTAACACCCATTCATGATAAAAACCTACAGAGAATCTCCAGAAACCTACAGAAGGTCTTTATCTCAATCTGATAAAAAGCCATCTGTGACAAACCAACAGACATCATATTAAATGAAAGCTTTTAAAAATTAAGAATAAGACAAGGATGCCCACTAGCACCACTCCTATTTACTATAGTTCTGGTAACATCAGTCAGAGCAATTAGACAAGAGAATGAAATAAAATGAATAAGGATAGGAAAAGAAGTTAAATTATTTGTAGATGATATGATACTCTACATAGAAGACTCCAAAAATTCCACCAAAAAACTTCTAGATTTAATAACTAAATTCAGTAGCATAGCAGGATACAAAGAGGAAAAATATTTACTAGCTATTCTTCAGACAAAGAACTAATATCTAGACTATATAAAGGACTCAAAAAAAAACCAGACCCTAAATTTAAAGACCCAGTCAAAAAAGAGCACCTGAAATAAACAGACACTTCTCAGATGAAGAAGTACAAATAACAAACAAATATTGAAAAAAATTCAACAGCACCAGTCATTATTTAAGAAATGCAAATTAAAACAACAGTGAGATTCCATCTCACTCCAGAAAAAAACTGCCATCATTGAGAAATCAACCAATAACAAGTGCTGGCGATAGTGTGTGAGAAAAGGAACACTGCTCCACTGTCAGTGGGAGTGTAAACTGGTACAGGCAATATAGAAATCACTACAGAGATTCTTCAAAACACTAAAACTAGAGATTCCGTTTGACCTAACTATTCCCCTTTAAGTATCTTCCCAAAAGAGTTAAAAGCATCCCACTGAAAGGAAAAAAACTGTACAAGAGAAACTGTTCTTTTAAAAACTTTGTTCTTCTGAAACTGTCTAGCTCTGTATCTGCTTCATGGCTTTGTAATTACTTTCTTGACCCCCGTAACCCATGATAGTGTAACC